CCTTTATTTAAAAAAAAAATCAACCTACTCACAATAGATACAACACATATTTTTTAATTAATTTTTTATAATGTGAATAATACTTATTTTTTAGTTATTAATATCTAATTTATTTATTTATTTAGACACTATAAAAAATAATTTTAATCTATTTATTAATAATAAATGATCTGGCATGAATGATCTATATATGCAAATTTATAATGTGAATTTAGTATAAATTGGTGTAAATTATTATATATAAACATATAATATAAATTAGTAATAATTTATATTAAATTATATGATTATTATTTTTTATTATTTTGTTAATTTTATTAATTTATTTATAATAATATTATTATTTATTAAGTCATATGATTCGACCTCCATTCATTGTCCAATTCAGTTTTGACAACTCAAGTAAATAAAAAATTTGGCGAGGCATTACTAGGAATTATCTTCTTGTAAATTTTCAGGGTTTTTCTTTTGACCGTTGTCTTCATGCTCTCTTCCATCCGAGAAGATTCTATCATAAATAATATAATTAGAGTTAGCTTAAGTACATAAATAATTTTAAAAATAATAAGCATACTATTAATTATTTAAGAATTCTATTACTTCTAATTAATTATTATTTTACATATATCTTGTTAATTACAATATTAATTATTTAATTACTTCTACAGTTCTACCTAATTATTTAATTATTATTTTACATAACTAATTATTTGATTATTAATTATAATGCTAATTATTTAAGTAACTATTTAAGTATTTTAAATATAAATTTTATTTTTATTTATATAATTAATTAGATTATTACTATTTTATATTATATTAATTAATCACGATATACCCATTCTTCCCAATGGTTCCTGCCTGTTGCGGAGGAGGGCAAATTGTTGCGTCCGGTGTCGCCACGTCACCAAAATACATTGCGACCCAGTGTATTTGAGTGACGTGGCATCACGGGATTGGATGTCCGGACGCAATAATTCGCCATTGCGGAGAGAACCGTGAAGCTCCAGCATCAGCCTTCGACTCAAAGTGATGCTCCTCGTCAGACATATTTCCTGTTGAGGAGAGTACCGGTGAAGGTTTAATTAAGCTTTTTTTTTTATATATAAAACCTCATGGAAGAGGCTTAAGCGTTAATGAAGAGAAAAAAGGACAAGTCCAGAATGACTCCAAAGCTCGCTAAAATACAACATTTGAAACATAAAAACCTAAGAGCCTCCGAATTCACCTAAAAATAAAAATTCAAGAAAGTAAAAAAAAGACCAACCTAAGCACAAGCAAACAAAAAAGAAACCATTCGTAAATATGCCTGACGAGGAGCATCACTTTGAGTCGAAGGCGGATGCTGGAGCTTCAAAGACTTATCTGCAACAGGCAGGAACCATTCGGAAGAATGGGTATATCTATCGTGATATAGAGTGGGAAGCATGGACATGCAAAATGTCTCCTTTAATTTAATTATAAGCTAAATTAAATTAACTTATAATTTAAATGTAGGGTTTGCTTTTAAGCTTCTCCATTTCATCATTGTTGTGCTTCTCCCACGGCCATTTCTTCCATGATGCTTAGCTTCGCCTGCTTCGCGTGAAGTAGCGTTTCACCTCGTTCGATGATGTTGGATTGGAAGTCATAATAGAAGCTCGGTCGCTGCGAAGGTAATCATTTTCTCCACAACGCTTGCAAGTCCATAGATATGTAGTCTATAAATCCCTTAAATTCGTCGAACGACGGGATTTAGTAAATCCATAAATCCGGGATTTGTAATCGATTTGAATTCATTGAGCGCTGTCAAACTGTTTGGCTTACGATAAAATCCGGCTTAAGTCCTCCTTAAATCTCGCCACCAAACAGCTTCTCACACTCTCGTAAAATGCTCTCTTAAAACCCCAATTTTGTGCTTGCTTTATATTTGGACTAAGGAATGGAGTAGTATTTTTGCTTCATTTATATTTTGACGACATAATGGATTGAAGCTTTTCGGGGCTCTTTGGCAACAAGTAGTATTTAAATGTATTGGGATTTAGTAAATCCCGAGGATGCTAAATCTCGAAAACTATTTATTATGACATAAGTTAAATACTGCTAAATTCTAAGAAACTGTTTGGCAATGTAATGTAGGATTTAATGTGGTTGATTTATTTAGAAATTAAATTAAATTTGCGTGTTCATTATAAGACTATTTGATAATTAGATAATTAGTAATATAATCAATAATTTGATAATTAGTAATAATTGAGCTAACTTCTAATGGTATTATTTATCATTATAACTTATTAAATATAATTAAAATAAAGTTAATAAGTTATAATGATAAATTACTTATTATATTACTAATTATCTAATTATTTTCTTAAATCCTAATTAATTTGTTAATTATATTTTAAATTTTAAATTATTTAATTATAACTCATATTAATGCTTTAATTAAATATTTAAATATTAAATTAATTTAATGACAATTATACAATTAATGCATATAATAATAAACCAATTAAAAATTTTAATTAAACTAATTTCATGATAATTACACTGTTAATTAATTAATTAAATACAATTAGATAACTTAATTATACTACTAATTAATTATTTAAGATTCATTTTTAATTTATTCGCGATTGTATCAATCATGCGCGATTGTATCAATCATGCTGTAGGGGCGGTGAAAAAGCTTCATCTCCAACTGATTCCTTCGCGATTTCGCAAATTCCCTCCATCCTTACGGCTTGGAGTTTCTTCCAGCTTCTTCTCTTCTCCGTTGCGCCTCTCCCGGCCGTCGATTGCTTCAACTTCAACGGCACAAAGGTACATCTCGCATGCCCTAGATAGGACCCTCGGCCGTTGTGAGCAGGATTTAGCTGTTTCATTCGGCGTTCTTAGCTTCTAAACAGGTTGTTTTCACCTGCACGGAGCTGATGGTTCTTCTGCTGCATTTTAGAACAGAATTCAAGAATGGAAAGTATGTTGGTGAAAGTGGCAATAGGCTTAAGGAGTTGCTCTCTAAATTCAATCCCATAAAATTCCACTCTTTATGGAATTTCAGGGGCCATACAGGAAATGTGGTTGTGAACTATTTTTATGCTGATCACTTTGGTAAGATGAATTGGGTTGAAAAAAGGAATTCTATTCCAGGAATATATGGATGAGCGGCTCGTGCTGATGACTATTATTCAGGAGGTCCTATTGGGGATCATCTACGAAAACATGGATATTTGAAAACTGTTGATGATATATAACTAATGAGGAGTCTAATAAAATGAGCAAACTTATTCAAGATTTAGCAACTCTGATTGCAGTCAAGAAGAAGCACATTGAGGAGCTTGAGGACAATTACACTCTGGAATTTTGTGTTCTTCCTTAGAAATTCAAAGAATGCAGCAACTCGCCCGAGATCGTTCTTGTAGAATTTTTTTTAGAATGAGAACTTAAGGACTGAGCTGGATTCTAAGAGAAGAGAACATGCATTCAGATCCAAGCAACTGAACACATTAGCAGCTCAAAGTGAGTCTGAGATAAGGAAACTTGAAGATGAAAAGAAGGTACAATATATTTTTGTTTAATTTGCAAGATAGCTTTTAACCTGTTAACTCCTTGGTGAAGGTACCACTAGATAAAACTGTACATTTCATGTGGATTCTTATAGCATGCTTAATTGCAAGTCATTTAGAATTTTAATTTTGCAAAATCATTTCTCACTATGGCTCTATTCAACGATTTGTTATTCTGTGCGGAGTCCGAAGGGCGTCCGAAGACCAATAAAAATGCGTCACGTCACCCCATTGCTCGGTACCGAGCTCGGTACCCAAACTCGGTACCGCTCGATACTGCTGGGAACCCAACGCTTAACCGGACGGTTCTATCGTTTGGTGACTGTACAGAATCCATGCCCCTATTCAACATTGCTTTTTTATGACTACATTAACCTCTTTGAGCAACACAAGTAGTGGCGGATCCAGCCTTTTTTTAGGATAGGCAAACTCAATATTAAAAAAAGTCAATACCAAAAATTATTCAAAACAAAGCTTTGTATTTCATTATAATTTATGAAATTAAAAAGAAAATTATCAACTTTGCATTATACTTTGTATTTTCTGATAATGTTATATAATATCTTCATTCGGAACAGAATCAAATACTTCTTTCTCAATATATGACATTAGACAATCATTAAGCTAAATATCACCCATTTTGCTATGCAACCGATGTTTTATGATCTTCGTTGCAGAAAATGCTCTCTCCACCATAGCAATAACAACTGGTAAAATCAGTGCCAAAATAATAATTCTATAAACCAGGAGATACACAATATTTTTTTATCCTTTACTATCTTTTTTTCAAGAGCTACAATGCTAGTCAAAGATGTAAACTCATTGCTAGTACGCATATCAATAATATAAGTAGATAACTGATGCTTAAGAGATATAAGATCAACTATAGAAAAATATGCTGGATATAACTATGCAAGACGAATTAATTTTCCTTAACATAAACAGAGAACATATTACTCGGATTTAGACATATCACACAAAGAAGTAACTCGGTACTAGCTTCAGAGAATCAGTTATCCAATTCCTGAAGTTGCATATCAATAACTATGTAGAATAAATCAACTCAATAATGATGAAAGTTTATAATTTATGCACATTTTTGTACTAACCGTCCATGAGCCTTGAATTTGAAATCCATATTTGAAACTTCAGTTTAAAAAACATTACAAAAATGTGACACTTCTTTAAGTAAAGGCACACATCCATTTTCCCTCATCATTTGCAATCGTTGTTTGGACACTTATACTAATTTCATTGCTTTATAATATCTTGATTCTTTCTTTGTAATGCTTGCGATAATTCATTTGTAATCCCTAAAATATCAATCATTAAATGCATTGTCAAGACAAAGTCAAAAGATTCCATAGCATTTATTAAAACATCAGCTTCAACTGATTATTGATCATGTATCCCATTTTCTTTGATAATTTCGAGCACTTCAAGTACATAAGCATACATTTTTGTTAGACTGATTAATATTTGAAAATGCAAACTCTAACGGATATCACCAGCACGATGCAAATTACTTTCTTGTTTCAAACCTAGGCCATCATTTAACTCTCCACTTCTTAAATGAAAAACTATATTATCACGTTGAATAGATTTTAGAGTATCATTTTTCTTGCATGAAACTCCAACAGTATTTACAATTCTTGAAATGATCTAAAAAAAATGCTTTATTTGCCAATAATTTTTTGCAATAGCCACCGAACATAACTGAAACATCACAGGATTCATCAACTAGAATGGTGAAGTAAGAATAACAAATATCATTCATGATTATAGCCAAGGTCTCAACAACAATAGAACTACAAATATCTTTTTGGACCTTTGGTACAATCAATTTTAACTTTGCACTTGCATTTTCAAATATAGCTTTTTTTACCTCTTCATTATGATTTGCAAGAAACTGAGATAGTTCTATGTAATTCCTTTGATTATCGGAACTAGATGATTCATCAAGCCCATGGAATGATAACCCTTGTCGAATAAGAAATCGAACGTAATCAACAGTTGTAGTTAACATGATGCGATATTATTTTTTATGCTTCTCATCCTTGGTCGACCATAAAGCAGGAATACTCTGTTCTTGACTCTTCATTAAAGCCTCATATTTATGTCTTGCCTTGTGTGCATTGTTGTGTTCTCTGACATGACTAAGAAGCTACTATTTTCTCTTCCAATTCTTAAATCCCTCACCAACAAATGTGTTTCCACCACCTTGGCTAGTGCTAACTAGGGGTGTCAATTTTTGACACGACCCGAAACACGACCTGAACCCGACCCAAAAAAATCTGGGTTAGGGTCAACCCGGACCCGAAACGGGTCGGGTTCGGGTTCAACAAATCAACCTGTTTTAAAAATCGGGTCAGGTTCGGGTTGACCTAGCAACCCGAAAAATGACACGAAAATTCCTATTTGACTCGGAAACCCAACATTGACCCGTTTTTTACCCGATTTTGACCAAAAAACTAGCAATTTTAGATCAACTTCAGGTCATTGGTGTCGGGTCGGGTTGACCCGGACCCGAATCATGCCGGGTTCGGGTCCGGAAACCTCACCCGTTTTTAAAAACGGGTCGGGTTCGGGTTGACCCGAACAGTGCCAGGTTAGTTCTAAGTTCTACCCGAACCCGACCCGTTGACCCGAATTGACACCCCTAGTGCTAACTTGCTCTTGAGGCTTAAATGCATAACAATAAAGACAAAAAACAACATCTTTTTGTAGTGAATTAAGAAACATATTTAATCCACGGCTAAACTCTTAGAACAATTGATATGTTGGTGGATAAATTTTTATGATGAATTGGGTTGACTATTTTTTTAGGTGTAGGGAAATGAAAAATAAGCTATTGAATATGATTTGGAGTTCAAAAATTTTTGGAAAATCACACTTCCATTGTTGGCAAAGAGGTGTAGAGGGGATGATGATGATGATGATTTAGCTATGATGAGTTTAGGATGCTTTGAGAAGATGGGGCTAGAGCATATAGTTTGATGTATGTGGCTTAGGATGAGATGATGGTTTAGCTATGATGAGTTTAGGATGCTTTGAGAAGACGGGAATAAAGACTTGTGATTGTTAAGTGGCGATCATATGTATAAAGGTTGGGGATAAACAAGAGGATATGAAAGGGTTTGCCAAGGATAAGAAATATTTTTTATGGGTTGAAGGCATTCAATAAGGAAGCTCCAAAAAATAAAAGAAGATCAAAATAAAAGGTAAAAAAAAAGATAAACTAGGAATATATCCAAATTCATTAAAAGAAACGGGAAGAGGCAAGCTACCGGGAATTATTTACTAAACTAATGACAAAGACAAGGAATGTTCAATGACAACCCAATTAATCGTCAAAAACTTTATTACAATATTCTTAATCAATTCCTATAAGCATTACATGAGACTATCCACTGATAATATTCGTCTAGTTTCAGGAATAAAACTAACACAGTAACACAATCACGCAGACAATGGTTTAGCAAAAAAAAAAAAAAAGCAATTTGGTTGATTAAAAAAAAAAAAAAAAAACCTTCAAACCAAGGAGCCGAGGAAGAACTGGGAAGATGAGGGCTTCAAAGTGTGAAGGATAGGAAGTCAAAGGCTGCGGTTGCTGCTTCGAAGATGAAGACAAAGGTTACGTCTGCTACTTCGAAGAAGAAGATAAATGTTGTTGATGTGACTACGAAGTGCGAAGACGAGGCAAGCCGTCGAGGGCAGCGCAGATGGAAACGCGTTGCTAGAATGTTCAGGATGGGCAGGTATGTGTGCCAATGATAAGATTAGGGCAAAATTTATTTTTGAGGGGGGGGGGGGATTCCAAAAACACCCTTCTAATACATTTTTTTTTTGCCCACCCTGACCTAACTTGGGATCCTCCCATGGCCTTGACATGTTATACTTGACTTGGCATTTGCCCACCCTGACCTGCCTTGGCAAACTTTAGTATATCAATGACATTTTCCATCAAAACATATTTAGGCTTCAAAAATTGCACGGTAACCATGAAGACAACAATTTGGTGGTTTCGTTCATCATCTAATGGTGCATCAACATTTCTAAAACGTTTGAAGCTGCTAACACCTAGAAATGTTGATGCACCATTAGATGATGAACGAAACCACCAAATTGTTGACTTCATGGTTACCGTACAATTTTTGAAGCCTAAATATGTTTTGATGAAAAATGTTGTTGATATACTGAAGTTTGCCAAGGCTATACTTGGTAGGTATACCTTGAGTCATTTGATTGAGATGAATTATCAAGTAATATCTGCTGGTTTGCATATCACAAACACTGAAGAATGTGAGGAAATGCCCTATATGAAGGATCCTCAAACATATTTTTAGAGATTTATTCGTCGGCCAAAATTTCATGAGTTATTAAATGTACAATTTATTACATATGCAGCTCCATTATTGATGAGGACATTAGTAGGAGATTTTGACGCATTTACAGAGGAGGCATCGCAGATTGATGGCCACGATCAAGATCCTTTATTTTTGATGCATTTTATGTATTATTTATTTTTATATTTCATTTTTTCCTATTTTACCCCTATAGGTAGTTAGCTTATTATTGTAGCCCTATGAGCATTCTATTCCTTTTTTTTAATCATGTTGAAGCCTATATATAAGGTCCCTTCTATTATATTTGAGATGATAATTTGATGAATAAAATTTTGAGCTTTAGTCTTCTTCATTGTTGTGAGCTTTGAGAGAAGAAAGAGAATCCTATGTGAGGGTGATTGCAATACCCGTCAGTAATGAGGACATCAGATTTCGACACGTGTACCATCGCCGGAGACACAGATCGACGGCTACGATCCAGAGCCTTTATTTCTGATGTATTTGTATTTTATTTATTCTAGCATTTTTATTTTCCTAGTTTGCCCCTGTGGGCATTGAGTCACTTATGTAGCCCTAAGGGCATTTGTGTCGTTTTAGTTTTGTTTTATCTTGGCCTATTTAAAGGAGGCCTCATGCATTGCATTG